GCCTTTTCGATGTATACAAACGAACAGTCAAATCTCCTTATAATATTTGTAACGATTTTTTTCCTTTCTATTGAATCACAGTCTCGGAAAATATATTTGGTAATGTGACAGAACAGTAAGTTTATATGCAGACGTTTGCGGTCTGTATAAAAATATATGCTCTTTGGCTATTTAGAAATAATTATTAGTGTTTAAAATATGAGTAATGTTACTCGGTGTGAACAAATATTCGCATTCGTTTCCTCATTATTTTTTAACAAGACTTTATAATCACAATAGCTTTCCGTCAGCGACTTTGCCCGCGTGGTCCCTAAGGAGCAGTTTGGCAGAATAAAGAGCCAAGTAAACCAAAACCTTGTAACCTAGTTTTTGCATGAAGATGTAACAAACATCCAAACTTACAAAATTTCGCCTTTATAATATTAGTAATATTTATTCCTGTGTAAACAGCTGAAATAATTTAATAATTAATTTGGATATCGATTTATATCATGATACGGATATAATTACAAACGTTTTAATTCTCTATACAATCTTCCAATCCCATTTTCGTCCCTTTATTTGCTGTTCCAAAGCCCGGAGAACCTCGATATAGTAGTAAATTTTTTGGTCACCCATCCAATAACCGACCCTTACAAACGTTGCTTATCTTCCGCATTAGAGATCTAAAGCGCTAACCACTGCATTAGCGAGCTCGTCTCGCTTAAACGTATCTTAAAGTCGCTTCCAAAATTGTTTTATTAAATTAAGAATATTAAACAAACCTTTTTAAATATCAAACTTATTCTTAATTCAAATATTTAAAAGGAGTACTTACACTAAAAGTTCGTTTAATGAATAATATCATTAATCGTAACGCATCATTAATGGTCGTGATCTAATTAATGGTGGGTTTATTTGGACCACCGCAGTGTCATAACACGAATGATAGATTGGTTCATTACCTACCTTGTTATCGCAGAGATGTTTTTTTACTTTTTACCGTACGGCTTCTGTTGTATGAAATAGTTTTTTTAATGTATAAGGTAGCTAATTTGAAAGCATTTTATAATATACTCTCATAACAGAACTTATACTTCTTTTGTGAGTACGCCATAAGAAAAGAAATAAACAAAGAGTTTTAGATTACAAAATAAAAAACAATTAAAGTACGATATAAGAATATAAAGGCCTAATAATTAGTGATAAAAATAATAAGAATGTGTATGTAAAATTAAGAAATTAATAAAAATATCATGCTACAGCTAACCTAGCGGCTTCGCCCACATAGTCCTGTATTAAACATATTCACCTAGGTCCTTGCTCTTGAGTTAATCTCTGTATATTTATAAAAACTGCATTAAAAAAGCTGTAATTAACATTATTCTATAATATGTATAAATGCTGTCCTGTAATGCTATTTTGTAATAAAAACCAAACACACTCAAATAAAACCTACTTTGAAACGTAAAAAGGTTTTAAACCTCTATGCTGTGGCAGAATTCGAGTTGTTTTATTTATACAAAAACATAAATAATTATAAATAAAATAGGAACGACGGTAGTTTAAAATAGACTGACTTTCAATGAACGCTCGTTGCAGAAAGTTCGTTCATTAGTTTAAAGTGACATTACAGAGGCAAATGTTCAAATTTAGAACATTCATTAGGGCTATTCATGTTATCTGACATGAAAAAGATTCTATTAATGCAATATTTAACTATTGGAATTATTTTGAGTTTTTCAAAATGGCACCTATTTCGAACATACATTTCTAAAATGGCGCTAAAACTGACCACAAAGTACGTACATTGAAAAAATAAATTGGTTTAACCTTTCTGACTATGAAGAATTTATGTTGATTTTGACCCAACCTGGTATGAAGATTTATAGGCCTCCCGTACTACGTGCTTTATAGTTATTTGATAAAACACTATCGTAATTATTTAGCTTGACTTTTCGAACGACGGCATCTATTTTATTTCTGTAACATATTATAATAAACTTGAAAGATATCACGATGTTTGTAAGCCCGTCTTACTTTTTTTAGCTAGACGACAATTTGAGATATCATCTGTCATGTAATAAAAACTCTAATATACGATGTAGCATGAACTATTTTCTCCGCCGAGTGATAAAAACGTGTAAAATCGTATGCAATTAACAAAGTACGTACATTGAAAAAATAAATTGGTTTAACCTTTCTGACTATGAAGAATTTATGTTGATTTTATCTCAAATATAATCTCGATTTTTTTACATATCATTTAAAGTTACCCAATCTCCTCCTGTATCTGCGAAACTGACTGAGAGTTATCACTCATGTGATATTGATTGATGCATGTCATTCTAAAATCGGTTTACCGAGGTACTATGCATCCCAATAGTTAATGGCCTCTATTTATTATCAAACTTTTGGGTGGTTTCAAGGGAATACTCAAAATGTTTTTGTTGTGAAATAACTATTTTTTTCTTAAACAGGTAGTTAATAGTTAGAGAAATATGGGATCGAGAATATCCAAGAGTTATTGATTATGGTTTCTTAGCAATATCATGGGAATCTTTATCCTCTTTTTTCAAAATTGAGAAAAGATATCAATATATCATTATATCAAATGCAATCATTTGATTAAAAAATGTAACGAATAAGTTCTAATATGTATAAAAATAATAAGTCATGTTTCATATTCACAAATATCCTTAAAGAGTAGCGTAAAATAAATACGCCAGTCCATGTTTTAAGTATTGATGAGGCCCGTTTTTACGATATTAATTTGATAAAGATACTATCAAATTAACTATCTGGTACTTTATAACTATTAAGCTAGCTCGTATACACAAATCACAATATTTTAAATGAATTTGTATCAAAGGAATAAAGTAATTAAAAATGTGAAAACTACGTAAGTACATCTTTCTTTCAAATTATTTATCTTTCTTTTTTCTATTATATTTTAAGCGGTCTATTTGAAATAGAAACCTTAAAATAAAATAAAAAACTTAAATTTAGTGACTTATTTTTAAATTTTCTTTATAGTAAAAACAAATCACATAATTGCTGGCTTCTGCGAAGGTTGCTTAAGCTCATCAATCGCAAATTAAACGCGCTAACCACTTATTAGTTTATTTTTATGAGGGCATACAAAACAGATTACATTAATAAAAAATAAACACACGATTTATATTATGACAATATAAATAATTAGGTCTGGACTATTCAAGAAAAATGTGAAAGAAAAATATTTATATACATTTAACAAACTTTAAAAAAATAAATATAATCTGATACGATATACGATTTTTAATAATTATTCCATTTTTTATTTAAGCTCAAAACTCTTTTTCGTTTTTTTTGTATCTTTCCAAGTGAAACCACTGCGACATCAGCTTATTATTTTCCAGTTTCGACCATGTCCCGTTGACATTCAAAGCATAGACTAAAAATAGTTTCTAACCAGTTTCAAATCATAAAAAAGGTCCACCTAACACTGTAATTGAATCCGGTAGTCGACCGGACACTATCATAAATCTAAAGGGGTGACTAATTGAACAAAAACGATGAGTTCTTTTCTTTAACATGAGTAGTTGTCACCTTTTTCTTTTAATTGATAGCATGCCAGTTACGGCCATCATTGATAATGCTATTATGATCTAAAAGTATTATGATACAATAACGTATAACTAAATTGTCAAAGTAATTGAATTAATTTAAAAAAAAACACAACGTCCATTTTACTACAATCTTATCTGTGTAAATCTATAACATGTTATTTTGTTTCTATGAAAAAAAAAACAGTTTTATAATCCAAATAAAAATATATTTCAAAATGTCCCGTCTGACAATACAAATCTCTAGACATGATGAATCATTAATTATTCAGTCATTATCGATAATGAAAAACATCGATAATCCCTTTCTAATGGACGACGACTACACACTCCAGGAAGCCTCCAGCCGTCATTTGTTTAGTTGACATTTGACATCACTCAAGATGGTTCCACTTAGTATACGATTTTTTTGTTGAAACTTACAATCTTTTGTTAAAATAGTTTGTGCGGTTTAAAGCATAAAGGTTTCTTACTTATAATAAAAAAACCAGTCACAGAAATACGCAAGTAACAAAAGTTTTGTTTTTATTCTTTTAGTATAATTATTGTTTTGGTAACATCTAAGATTTCACATCAGGAATTTATTCTTTTTTTTTAAACGATAAACATCTAATAACTATTAATGAATTATAAAAACAGCGAAACTTATTGATTATTTATTACTGCCGTAAAACCTAAATCAACCTTTTTCAGATGAAAATCGATTTCACTATTTGTTTGTCAGTACATATATAGTCACAATAGACTTTCGTAATACAACAGTGATACAATCGAGTACAATTAAATTCCAAATTTAATCGTAATCGTCGAATCGTAATACCAATAAAAAGTGTTTCTCACGCGATAACAATAATAAATACATTTCATCGATAACTTTTTATCGACACAGGGCTACACTAAAGTGAAGTTGTTTGTTTTGCCAGTAGCAAGTAGTGTCGCCTTGATAAATATCCTTAAAGATTGTGCGCTCTTCTCGATAATTTCTGTTTGAACCTCACACCGTCCAACGTGAACGAATTTAAACTTTATTCATACTGAAACAAGGTTTATATGTCAACAGCAATGTGGTGAAGGTTGACCCAACCTGGTATGAAGATTTATAGGCCTCCCGTACTACGTGCTTTATAGTTATTTGATAAAACACTATCGTAATTATTTAGCTTGACTTTTCGAACGACGGCATCTATTTTATTTCTGTAACATATAATAAACTTGAAAGATATCACGATGTTTGTAAGCCTGTCTTACTTTTTTTTAGCTAGACGACAATTTGAGATATCATCTGTCATGTAATAAAAACTCTAATATACGATGTAGCATGAACTATTTTCTCCGCCGAGTGATAAAAACGTGTAAAATCGTATGCAATTAACATAACAATCGACTGATTTTCTTTTTTCTTTTACTTTCCAGGTAAAAAGTGGCGTTCGCTGACACCGCAAGACAGACGACCTTTCGTGGAAGAGGCAGAGCGGCTACGGGTGATACATATGACGGAACATCCCAACTACAAATACCGGCCTCGAAGACGGAAGCAGAATAAAACTAGACCGAATCAACCGACGACGCCGGCGAGTGCTCCACCAGCGGCGTCAGCAGCCTTAGGTTCCCCATATGCCACAGCAACCGATTCACCAGACGCTCGATTCTCCCACAACCCAGGGGCAGGCTTCTCACCTTACCGTACTTCGCCCCTCGCTCCCGACTCTTACCAATCGAGTCAACAATTCAACGGACATGTTCAAACTCCAGAATCATCGCCAGCTAGGTCTCCAGAACCTCAAGGTAGGAGGAGCGCCCCGGCTGACGCCCCTCTGCCCACTCCCGATGCGTCACCCGTGGAGAATGAGAAGGAAAACTTTCAGTATGAAGAAAGGCGAAGAGCCATCAACGCTTCCTCCCTCTCTGAATCATATTCGCCTTATAAAACTTACCGGACGCCAGGGTCTTTCTCGCCGGCGCCCGTCGCAGCTATGGGTATGGCCAATGGCATGTACGTGATGTGCACGCAACGAACTCTAGCAGAACAACCACCTCTAGTAACTGGAACCTTTTTCCCTCCAGTCGCGACCTCGCAAGATCAGCAAGCTCTCGGCACATCCACTCCAAAAGTGACGTCAGCTCTAAGTGGTTCCATACCATCTGAATACAGCATTCAATACCTCCCATATGATCAATACGAACAAATGTATAAAACAGAAGACTCATATGTGTCGCATTATCCTGAACAGCCGAAAACTGAATACGACACAGGAGGCTCTTACTTTTCAGAGGAACCACCATCTAATCAACCACAGGAGAATGAACAGAGCTTTATGAATCCACGCCCGGAAATAAGGACGGGATCACCTGAATCTGACGTGGACGCTAGGGAGTTCGACAAGTATTTGGACTATGGTACCGAAGTTTCTATTGAGCAACATCAACAATATAGATATGAGCAACAGCAACAGCAACAGCAGCAGGGCTACAGGCCTCCTTACTGCTCTGAGCAGGGTCCAGCGCCGGAGTACTGCTCGGAGAGGATGTATCCGTCTCCGTACGCGTCTGTGATTTCTGGAACACCAGCCGTGGGTCCATATACGCCCGCACCGCCCACTGACGTACGACCTGAAGATGAATTCAGCGTGATCCTAGCTGGAGTCAGGCAGACGTGTTATAGCAATTGACTATATAGGACTGATATGGGTTAGCAATAATAGGGACACTTCCTAAATGAAGCCCAAAGAATTTCATATGTTTTTCGAAGTGTATTTTTGATACCGACTGTGTATTCCACATTGATTTTTTTATATTATTAATTAAATTTAAAGCGCGACAATTATAATATTGTTTGAAAAAATATATGCCTTTGTCAATTTTGATCAATTGAGTCTCATGTTTCCTATATAGAAATAATATGATTTTGAAATTGAAAAAATATTAAAAATGTATACTGATCAGTATAAGACTGGATCTGTATTATTTTAAGGCTGTTAATTTATTAATGCTCGTCTTAAACTGAATTATATTGGTGCTATTTAAGGAGGTCCTTTAAATAAACTGTTTTTAGATATTTTTTTTTTTTTGTAATATTTGCATCCAAAACTATATACCAATAGAGGTAGCAAATTAACGATTCCTATTAAAAGAAAAGCATTATTTATTTGTAACTATTTTTGTATATTTTATAGTAAAAATTAATAAAAAAAAATAATCATTTCGATAGCTCTTCCATTAAGTCTGTAGATATAGTTATTATGATTAATTTTAACAATTTTCTAGGTTATAAATATAAAAATTATAAGTTATCTGTATAAAAGTGTAAGTTGAATAAATATCTCATAGCAGTTAATTTGTACTAAATTTTAGAAAGTGTTTTTTTTTATTATAGTTAATGTTGCAATTTTGTAGTTATTTAGATTATAAATGGAAAAAGACCACTCGCACTGCGACACTAAGTTCTTCCTAATTGTAAGAAAATTTATAAAAAGCAATAAAAATTATATATTAAGAAATATTTTTCTTTTATTCAACCTATTGTTCTGTAATAGTTTCTCGTAACGCTGTTCGTCTATTTAAAGTAAAAATATTATATTATAAACAAACAGCAAATTCTAATTAAGGTCTCCCAAAAGTTTCAAAATATCCCCAGACTGCGAGACAGACCATTTTTTAACTATTTTCCCGCACATAAATTATAGCCTACTAGCTTTCCGCCAGCGGTTTCGCCGGCGTGGTCTTGTATTATACATAAAAACCTTCTTTTTGAATTACCCTATCCATGAAAAAAACCGCATCGAAATCCGTTGCATAGTTTTAAAGATTTAAGCATATAGGGACAGATAAAGCGACGGACTAGTTGTACAAACGTCATTTAAAATTGACATTAGTTAAAAGCGACATTACCCATACAAATCTGAAATTTATTAGAGCTTAAAGCCGTCATTAAACCTTAATTGACGTTTGTGCAACTTAACCTAAGTGTAGTTGATTTTTATTAGTGTCCTCTTTTCGCATTCTTTCTAAATGATATTAAAACAAAAAAGTGTATCCGAAGCAGATTTCAAAGCATCGCTGTCTCTGAGGTTTCGGGTTCGACTCCCGGCTTGAGTGTTGTGGTACTTTCATTGCCATTTTATAATCTGATGATGGAATCGGAATCAAGTAAAGCAACCTCATCTAATTTTGTCTCTTTATTTCGCCTGCATGCAAGATTTCTGGTATAAGATAATATCCTACAAAATTTTGTTTAGAGAAAATTACAGAAGATATAACATGATTAAAGGGATAGAAACCTATTGGGTACCACTAATAAACGATTACCTTTAATCTCGATTAACTTATAACACACGAGATTTTATTAGACTTTGAAACAGCGTTCGTACTTATTTGTACACTTTCATAATGGTTACATGACGAATTAAGATAAATGTTTCTATCTGAAAATTTGTATAATGTTACTTTAAACTAATGACAATTTTAAAGAACGTTTATGCACCTGGGTGTTAGAATGCAATATCAAATTGAATCGATCGTTAATCCTGCTAATAATAATTATAAGAAAATTCATGCAGTGCGAAGGACATGAAAAAGCTTAAAGAAATCGAAAACTGTAATAACTTGGCTAGTGCCCGTTATAACATAGAACTAACCAGCTTCAAGCTGAGAAATCAAAGAAGATAATAAAAATAAAAATAGCATTTGAATGGCGTATTAATTAATTGCATTTTACCACTATATTATCTACCTCAAGTCCGATATATCAGTAGCGCCTTGACAAATAGGTGGCGAGCGATATTTTGGTTATTTTGTGACAAAATAAAGTTATTGAAACGCTATAATTACGTAAATAGGCAGCAGAATAATGGCCCTGATTTGACACTTTATTATAAAAAACAGCCTCGAACTCACCGCCGAGTGCATCACTGTCAAAATCAAAATCAAAATTGCTTATTCGGTTTAGGCTTTTACAGAGCACTTGTGAAAGTCGAAAACTGCGCCATCGGTTCGCAAACACATCATAGTCGTTTTAATCAAATAAAACCTACTTCAAAATGAAATAAAGGTTTTATTTCATTGAAGCGCTAAGCTGTCACAGTAAGTGCTGTGCTCGACGTCGACTTCGAGGCCGTATTATAACAATATAGCATAGCTGTAATAAAATTAGCCTTGAATTTGACGTCGAACACAGTTCTGTCAAAGACAAAACGGTGTGAAACAAAGACGACAGCGCTGTGCTCGACGTCGTGTTCAACGCTGCTTTTGTAACAGTAATTTTGAAACGTTTCTCTAATTGATTTCAAGACTTAATCTATTAATAATTAAATTAATTTTTTTTGTTGAATTTCGCCTTTTCTAGTAATCTGATGTTACCGATGTTACCTGTTGATGTTACCGAACTGGGGATTTTTTTTTATACCAGACATTTCTGGTACCGTATAAACCGTATAACTAGAAATAAATTTTCTAATTCAAAGTTTGAAAATTGTAATAACAATTTTCAATTACTACTCATTTCACAAGTCGTATATTAACCAACAGGGTTTTAATTAATTCCATCCGTGAACTCTCACCTTAAACCATCCATTGATATTAGCTAACATTAATAAAGCACCGAACTGATAATTATTTATATTGTTTTTTAGTCCATACCTCACACGCACTTGCTCAAACATCTTAAACGACACGCAAAAAGAGAAATCAATGAGAACGCCCACAGCAAAAGGGAATAAGTTCAAATAAAATCAAAAATCAAAATTACTAAATAATCCGCGAGCTAGCGCAGGGGCGCGTATGGCGGCCCGCGGGCTCGCATGTCTGTAATTATGTTGCGGCCCGCCTTTGCCCGCCCCTGCCACGTTCGCCGCCAATATTGATGTATTGACGGTATTCTTTTTTTTATTTTATTAAAAAGGCATACGTGCAAGAGGAGGCTTTTCGAGAAAATCCTTGTTGAAACTACTGAATGTAAAAGTGTTTCCCATTTGGAGATAATTTTCGATTCGTGCTATCCGCAGGCGGTGATGTGATTTTGATGAACGAAGCATTTTAGTGTTCTGAAATATATTTCAGTTTTAATTTTTTTGTAGCATTTTGAATATATTGCAATCATTAATATTTATAATATTATATTTTCTTGCGCAATACTCATGAAAACTTTAATCAATAGTCATTCAGTTAGCCTGAAAACAAATTGTATGAATTATTTGTATTTAGATATATCTATCTTCTGAGCAATCATATTTAAAAATCAATACTATTATTTTCATGAATATGAAATGGTATCAAAATAATCAAAGTTAAATAACGCTAGCTACATTCAAAACTTATAAATTTGGACTTATGGCACTTTGTCATGCAGAGGTCGATCTGCGCGGGATCATAATACGTGATAATTAACTTTTTGTTTCTCTTTTATGTTTTAATCTACGGAGACATCTTAGGGAATTCGCGAGAGCATATGTGATTTATTGATTTTTAGGTTTTAACACAACATTTTATGATTAAATTCTTAGAGCATTTTGAAATGTTATTGATTTTTTTTTAATCATTTAGGCTTGGAAATATTTTCCATTAGCCGGAATTAGTATAAATATAATATTTAAAATTTAACCATTCCAAATCCTATAAGGCTACCTGAAATTATATATATTTCTCAATTACCCGTCACTTTAATAGTAAATGAGCATATTTTTTTCAATCCACATCCGAAATAGAAATACTTTTAATTATTTTTTTTGTTAAATTTCAAAATATGTTCAAATTTTAATGACACAGCTAAATATTTGCAGTCATCGGAGTTAATTGCACTACCATAACAGAATAAAAAGTATTACGAAAATATAACGTATGCTAGCAACACTGCAATAAAAACCAAGGAATCCTCGTACATACATACATACATACATACATTCGTCGGTAATCGGTATGATATTAACACGTTATTAAAAATTTCGCTAATAATCTTTTTCATTATCCCTTTGCGTAAATTAGTTATAAAAAATAATGGAGAAAATGGAGGATATGTCTTAGTAGAAAAACGGTTGATTTTGTTTATTTAATTGTAAATAGCTTTATATTTATGTAAATCACAGATATTATAATATGTTAATAAACATCTCTCAGAAATGAAAGCTAATTTTGTGATATACCGTTTATGTGTCGGAATAGACCCCCGATGCGATTCATAAGATCTTATTTTACCCACAGATTTAATATACTATCTCGGTACTTAAGGGCTATAAATTAACGAGTGTCAGTAAAGATAGAGGTTGTACTATACGGTTAAACTATAGAAATAAATTGCTTAGAGTTACTTATCTCCGTCGCATATCGCGTTAGTTATACCATTTGTTGCTCAATACTGAAATGATTTTCAATGATTTTTTTTAATTATTAGTTTGTAAGCTTCTTGCAGTCAAGCAAGAAGTAGAAGTAAGCAACAACTATATAATCACTATTTTTCTGTCTTATTCCCACTCTATATGTGTCCACTATTCTATTTCAGCTGTCATATCATGTCTCATACAGTCCATCCATCTTTCTGTGGACTCCTTGCTCTCCACCCATCGACATTCATCCCCGTCACCCTTTTATTTACGTTCATTTCACCCCTTCTTATAATATATCCTTAGCAGCCAGCCGCTTTTTCATTTTCCCTCTTATAGACTTACTTACTGACTTACGTATGCATTAACATGACACCTGTTCTATTTGAGCTCGAACTACAATCCGGTAAAATTTCGAATGGTTTTCAAAATGTTGTTTAAATAATAGCCGTGTAAATTATCTATGCAACAGAGGTGGTGTCGGGTAAAATAAAGAAAAACGTGTTTTAATGGAGCCGCATTAGCATTCGAATATACAAGAAATTTCGTCGCATAATTCCCGTCATTTTTGAATGAAGATAGCTTATAAATGTGAAGTTGGGTTTTCGACACAAGTTTACTTTAATTCTTTAGTAAATACAAGCAGCAACTCCATACTTTGCATTAGACTTTAGTTACTAAATATTATAGTATTTAGAAGGTCAAGAATTTAATGTTAATGAAACCTTTTAATTCTTAATAAATCGGTATTATATACGGGTACGGTTATAGAAATCTTATTCTCAAAAGAATTACAAAAAACCACTTACTGAGAATTACATAACACATAAACAATTATAATACCAGAATGGTAACGTAACGTAAAATTGGATTTTTAATCAATATATAAACTATTTTTTGTTTTCAAGTAAAGAAGGTAGTCTTAACTCTTAGCGCAATACACAGATGTGCGAAACATCTAGATGTGGCCTTTATCTAGATTTATCTTTATCTGTCCTGCATCTAGATGTGGCCTTTATAATATCTAACACGGTAAATAACATAATATAATCTTTCGGAAAGTCAAAAATGTTTTATTCTATAAAAATTGCGTACTGCCAAACCCGTTTAACTGTTAAGTATTTTATTACCTGACTATAAACAGAAGGAGGGTTATATAAAATCTTGAAACGAGCTATTCTTATATACAAATACGTATATAACCAAAACTCGGAAACGGATCAAATGATTCTCGTGAAAGGAGACGGTCCAAATCAGCTCCAGAGTTGTTTCATGTTTGAAATTGAAAACGCGCAAGACTTAATGACATTTTTAACGCAAAAAATAAAAACATCCTATGTAGATACGTTTCAAAATACAATTAATTAAGTACACAAATTATTTCCTAGACACAATGGAACCCAGAGTATGTTCATGTTTAATGAAAAACACGCGAATGACTTAATAACATAATAAGGTAATAATTTACAATTCTGACGTAGAAAATATAAACTTCCTATATAGTGAATCTAATAATGCGATCAATAAAAGTACACACTCAATATCCTAGAAACAATGATGAAGATTTTAGCCAAATCTTATGGTCGTGATGATAATGATATCGTCGAGTTATGATTTCACTACCCTCAAAGGGGTATGTAAATAATTTG